TTGGCTTTTCTCTCTGTCTCTCTCTCTCTTTCTCTCTACCTTGGCTACGTTCACGCAATATTACACACACAATACCCAACTGTATGACAAAGCATCTGCTCTCGCAGATGCTTAGTATCGATAGTTCGACGTTGCTGCTGCTGCACACGGGCGCGGGAACATCGTTTAATCGCGCGCGCTTACTTGGACATTATTTTTTTTCCTCGGTTCGAGAGAGATCTAAAGATCCGCGAGCGTTGCCGCGCGATAAAATGAGGCATGCGTCGAGGTCTACCCGAGGTTTGCCCCTCGGTCCACATTCTTCATCTTTGCCATTGCGCAGTGCAAATGAATTTTCTCGTTTAATAAGGATACGAGCAATGTATCGCGCGCCCCGAGGAGCTCCCGGGAGATTTTCGTCGTCGAGCGAAATTACTTCGTCAACGCAATTACTCGCGTGTTATACGTTGTGTATCTTGCACACAAAGTCCGCCGTATACGCACACGTCTGGACGAGAGAGAAGTAGAGAGAGAGAGAGAGAGCCATGCGCACGGCTAAGTAACTCGATAATAATTCATCTCAACATCCTGGGCCAAGAGTCTCTTGCGCATGCATAAAGAGCTTAGCCCACCGTGTGGCGCTGCTACAACAGAGAGCTGCTCATAGCTCGACGAGAGCGCTCCTTACAAGATATGCTCCGCTACGAGGACACGCATTGCAAGACGAAACTCGTTCGCCTCGTACGTCCTCGTCCTCGACGTCGTCGTCGTCGTCGTCGTCTTCGTTGTCGTGTCCGGAGAACACACTCTTCTTCTTCTCTCTCTTGCGCGCCTGTCCCTATATAGCTACAAAGTCTTGTTTGTTCAAGAAGGTAGGAGCTCGCAGTAGTCGTTGTCGGTATGAGAAACGCGTATAGCGAGCTACATAGCTCGTGAACCCGTAGCTCACAACGCGACTTCCCCTCTTCCGTCTTTCTTCTGCTTCTTTCCCCTTCCTCCTTCCCCACGGCTTCTTGCTATGCCTCTTGCTCCTTGGATCTTTCTCGTTCTCTCTCTCTTTCTCTCTCTCTCCTACTCCACCTTTTAGCGCTGCTGCTGCTTCTTCTTCGTCTCGTGGACTAGCTGTGCTAGGTAATCCTCTCGGGGGCGTGAGTTATGACTCTAGCGTTTCTACATTCTTCCTATACTGTTTTCCCCTCTACCATAGCCAATTTCTATCTATAGATATATTCATCAATATATATGTATATATATATGTACACGTACACACTACTCGTACACCCATATATAATATATACAACTCGAGCTAGTTTTTCACTCGGATAGTTGTTTTTTTTCGATGTACTTCATTCAAATTTTCCGATGCAAATAATTTTGTTTAAAAATATTCTATGAAACAATATACCAAAAATATTAGGCTTTAGGACATGTAAGCTGGTAGTATAATATAATAATCAGTGATCAATAGCAAGTTTACCTTTTTCTGTACTATAAACGCGTACGTTAATATTGGGAAAATGAAGCTTCAGAGAAGTTTGCTGACATCCTTCAGGCTTGTGAAACCAAAAATAAGCGCGTCTAAATTTGACCTATTGTATTAAGGTAGACGTAAAATTTACGGGTTAAGAAAAAAAAAAGGAAATTTTCATTCCACTAAATTTGATACTTTTTAAATAGATTGTTATTTTTCGCGCGACAGTTTCTTCAAATCGGATTATAGAAGTAGTAATTTATGTTCGGCGAATCGAATCGATCGTCATTTGCCACGCTTAATCTCTTTAACGCTCGTATACGCCGTTCTGCAAAATTATTTAAATATTGATACTGGAGCAGCCATTAATCACGAGCAGTAACCTCCACCTGCTATTCGGCGTCTGCTCTATCAGAGGACATTACGCAGTAATGTAATTGCCAATGTAAACCGATCAATTTTCCATGCGCCAGTGAAAATACACGCAACACTGCCACCACCGCGCCGCACACGCTACGTTATATGTCTTACATAATGAAAACCGACGCTGCTCGACGATGTATATGCGCATCGTCGGAGCTTGCTTACAGCAACATCCTCGTCCCTGAGCTTGTCTTAATTCAAAGCCATGGAAAGAGGCAGCAGCCGCATAAGAGAGGGCTAAGACATTAGCCTAGGACGAGCTCGGTGAGCTTGGTCGATCACTCGATTTATAGGACCTTGAGCAAAAAGCAAGCAAATCCCTCGTGTACATGTACAGCGCTAGCCCCAGGCCAATTCACTTACTTTGATTTGATTGGTTCTTACGCCGCCGTAGACTTGCAATACTCCGACAACTACTCTCTACCGTACTGCCTATGATCCGCCTTATTCCGAAAAATTTTCCCTCGGGATCACTGCCGAATGCGATAAGAATGGAAACTTGGCATTTATGTGCGGCTGTTTTCGTCTCGATGCTTACTTTATTTGGTCGCACATTTTCTAAATCTAAGGCTTGCGGCTGGCTCTATGTATTAGTACAGCTAACGTCTCCCATAAGCAATCAACCTATTGGTTTGCGTTCATTAGACTCGGCCTATGAATTTGCCGGGGGTTATTTGCAGGGTTAGGGATTAGTTTCCCTTCCTCTTCTCTGAATAAGCTTGGCAGGCGTGAGGTTTCTAGTTTTTACATTTAATGTTATTTTCATTGAAGGGGTCTCAGTAATAAATGTAGTTTTAAACGATCCACGTAGGAAAACAGTGTTATAAGTCAAATTTGCCGTATAATTGATCAATCTTCAAACTTTTCGTAAGAAAATTCTGAATAATAACAGCTACATCTATGTAACTATACTAAAAATGCAAATTCAAGTTCGTGATAAAGCGATACAACAGTTGCGCAGCGCTTTATCAATTCGCATGCAATAAATTAAAAATTGAACGCTTACTCATTGACTCGTAGCTTACACACACCAACCCATTCACTCACACGTGCAGTTATCTATTCCGGTAATCGTTCGCGCAATATCAACCCCTACTCATGGTACGCAAGCATTTTCAGTGGTAAACGACCAATCGTAAAACTACATCGGAGGATGCCTCGCATTCAGGAGGCATAATGTATTTCTCCCAAACGCGTCTACGACTTTCTCTTTCTATTCAAACACGTTGCTCTAAATAAAAAAATAGTAGTAATGTGCAAAAAATGTTGCGCAGAGTCATTTTCTATCGCTATCGAACTTACTTTACGCCTCCATTTTAGACTATCGAGTCAAATTTGACTTTATCCACCCTCTCATTTAAAGCAGCTCTCTAATCAGTACCTTGAAAATGTGTACGCGTCTGCGTCTGTAAAAAATAAATATATCGATGGTTTATCGTGAGGTATTCTCTGGTATATAGAAATGAATGAGTGATACATCATAGGGGGTGCATGCGCATGCGAGTCGACGCGTTCGACGGAATTGAGTTTTTATGCTGATACGGTGAGCTGTCACATTTTCTGCTCGTTCGAAAATCTACGAGGGCTTGGCTTAATTAGGGGAAGAGAAAAACAGTCCCTCGATTATTTATAAGTTTCGTGCGATATATATAGCTCATATTCATTTCTTTTTTTTTCGTAATCGTAGGTTTGGTGACTACACGCCCCATCTAGAGTACCACTCTAAAATACACTTTTACAGATATGTCTTCGGAGTTTCATAATCTTTTGAATGTTAATTTACTTTTTTAATTTCCGTCAATAGAAGGATTAGTTTTCTTTACTAATATACATTGAAGAAATCTGATTAGTCTGTGCAATGACTAATTGATTTATTTCGAAAAATTAATACATTCCATGATTTATATAGTGAAACTCTAGTGCTATATTTTTGCGATAAAATTTTTACAAAAAATTCAAATCATTTTAAATGTTAAAAAAAAAAATAAAATAAAACCTGAAAAAAATATCATTAGAGCATTGAAGTAAAAATTCAATTTGCGATGCTCGCTCAGAAAGTACAAGCCAAAAGCCGTAGCTCAATCTCATTCTTTCTCTCTGCTTCTCGTACTCTCATTCTGGTGTGTGGGTATATATATATCTATACATACGCGTATACGTTCATCGAGTCCAGCAGTTGAATCCTTCTGTGCCGTTCAGTGCGAAAACGAAAGAGAGGCGAAACGAGGCGCTTTACGAGGCAGTAACGGCCGATAAGGTGAGCTCCATAAGCACCGGCTTATTCCGTTATACTACTGCACCCAAGTGGCTGCTCGAAATGTTAGCAGACGTACGTACTCTCGCACACTCACATCTCATTCGAGAACTACATACGTACGTACATACATACGGCCGTGTATCGAGTCTTTTTCGCACTTTTAAAACTACTGCGGCGAGCTTTTTTTATTTTCCAGCCACTTACTGCTTTGCCTTTGGTGCATGCAATACTTCAATGTTTTACACTTTATTTAACAGTTAATGGCGCTTTGCGCGAGAATGAAACAAGTCGGAATCGCCATTTTACGGTAATAGACACTCGAAAATTAAACATAATTTTGTCAAAACTACACTAAATTATAATTTTTCATGTTTTGATCACTTATGTTAAAAACGCCATTAAGAATTCAATGGGTCACTGATTTTCGTAATGGCTCGGATTAGAAAGCATATGATTTCGTTCATTTTTGAAATATGTGACAGATGACCGCGTGATTTCGGGACCCGAGAGTGGGAGTGCGCAACTACGCCACGCCCTATAAACCATAATGTCTTGAAATGATTAATTACAAAAGTGAAAGAACAACGAAATCAAGTTTGAATGAAATGATCAATGTGGACAATTTGAGGATAGCTACCGTTCCTAATAATGTAGGCACTACGCGACCTCACGGCTATAATAAATTCAATGTCTGACTCATTAACCTTGGACATTTTTATTCTATAATCGAGCACACGTGCGCACATCTACTCTCGTCGGTTGGAATCGACTAACCTGCCAAAATTTTAATTAAATGGAAAAACCTTTGATGGTTGTCAAGTCAAATTATAATTTAATCTAATCGAAATATTTTTGCTTTATGATTTTCAGGAGCGAACGGACTTCGCAGAAGAGGTCGACAGACGTATACCCGTTATCAGACGCTCGAGCTGGAGAAGGAATTTCACACGAATCATTACCTAACAAGGCGGAGGCGAATCGAAATGGCGCACTCCCTGTGCCTGACAGAGCGACAGATAAAAATCTGGTTTCAAAATCGACGGATGAAGTTAAAGAAGGAAATACAGGCAATTAAAGAGCTGAACGAGCAGGAGAAGCAGGCACAAGCGCAAAAAGCCGCAGCCGCGGCGGCGGCTGCAGTGGCGCATCAAGGCCAGGGGGGACCCGACGGGCCCAACTAGGGGTACGCCCTGCACTCGCGGAGCCCCCCCGAGCCTCATCACACGGCCAATCCGCATCACTCTCTGCTCGCTGCCCAGTGTACGCAGCTGTATTAAGGTACGTCACACACCTGTCCATCGTACCAATTCATTTATTCATAACTGTCTGTCCGTCACTCTTTTTGATTCGATTAAAAACGAGAGCAAAGAACCCGTATCGCGACAAAAAGCTTGGAGAAGCCACTGGAGGGTGAAAAATTAATCAAGTCTTGGTATTATTGTTGGCCATAAGTACGAGCGTTGCGTGATAAAGCTCGCTCTTATCTCTCTAAGGACACGCTGGCCGCGCGGAAAAATAAAAGAGGGCTGAAGGTTATAGCAATAATAGCGCTTACACGGTACAACGACTTGAAGCTCGCAGAAGTAGCCGCGTTTTCTCTCTCCTTCGTGCATCGTGAACGATTGTTATTATAAGGTCTGAGCGTGCGTTAACAAAGTACTAACTTCGACGCCCCGCGCGCGATGAAAAGAGGAAACGAAACTTCGTCACGGCTTCGATTTTTTCCTTCTCTCTCTTTCGCACTGAGTTCGTCCAAAGAAAAGGGGAGTACCACTGTGCGTGCATCAAGTGGAATATATCTTATATCGAAAAAACATATGCGGCTGCGTGAGAATGATCCAATATTAAGCGTTTATAATGCAGGCTACAATGTGAATAACATACATAATACAGAACGGAAACGAAGAAAACGCAAGGAACTCGTAGCTATACATAAAACATATCTCGCTCTCCTCTTCTGTTGTTCAACAATATAACCAGCTGAACAGAATCTTCTTTTTTTGCGCGCGCCGAATAGCTCATCGGAGTATGAGCGAAGCGAATTATGTCTACTCGCCGCTGTCGACTTTTTGTTTTCTTCTTCTAAACGTGCCTGCGCAGCGGCGCTTTAACAACGTGCTTTTAAATGAACTAGGCACTTATTTATAAACTCCAGTAGTTTTTTTCCATGTACTGGCCGTAATTAAGTATGATAAGTCGTCTTTTATTTCAAGCTTTTTTACTTTTTTCTGCGCAAAACAATAAGTTTTGATTTTATTTAAAAAGAATTCCTTATCGCAGATATTTATTTATCTACAACAAACTAGCAGCACACGAAAAAAAATTAATTCTCACTTCGGTATTACGTCAGTTATGTAATAATAAAAAATTCAACTCCTTGCGTTTTCTGTACCAAAGAAAGTTATTTTGAATTATTCCAAGCAAGATGAAAGTTTGGAATGATGCGATTGCGTGAAAAATAATATGCCCTATCTGGCGCTCTTACAAATTAACGATAAAAGTCCGTGAGCGCGGATGAAATTTCTACGTGCCAGTTGAGAATATCGCGAGTTGTTCGTTAACAATGATCGTTGGAAATAAAAGCCTGCCACTATAGCCGCGGGCGCTTTTCACTCGTAAATTTTTCGGCCGCGCGCGCGTGGGCAAACTTTGCGCACGCTCGAAACTTATGTATGGCTTTACGCTGAATATCTAATGAAGTCTAACCGCGAGCTTGCACGCGTGTGTTTTTTGTAATTTGCCAAATTATTCCAATCTCGTTTTGCGCGTTAAAACAAACAAGTTTAACGCTTTAGCTTCGTCGAGGGGAAAAATAACCATTCTCCTATTTTCGCTCGCGAATCTATCCTACTTATTCTCTTTTGCTGGCGCGCGAGTCCTTGGAGAAAAATTGAAAAGAATTCAAGATTCATTCATTCGATTCTTCGATCTTTTGGGGATTACGTTTTGCCTTCGTGAAAAGTGTCCGCCTCGCGCGAGACAGCGTAATGTAGAAAGTTTTTTGATTACATGCTTTTGCTGCTTCATCTTGTGGTTTACCTCATTGTAATGGCCTCAATGTATACATAAAACGTGTCATTGACTGTAGACTAAGTAATTCACGTCACACTTGCTACTCATTCGCCGCATTCATTAAAAAAATGTCGAGTATTTGAAAAAACCTCAGCAGAGCTGGTTGATAGTTAAATTTGATGGGTCGAGCATTGAGATTTTTTTCTTCGACTCTACGTGCTTTTCGAGAAAATTTCATCTTTTAACAGAGCTGTATTAAGGTATATCGCCTTGAAATAATAGGAAGATTATCATCCCAAAGTACGTGGGAGAGGCGATCCCGCAGAAAACGAACACCGCTCGATATTTTCCTTTGCGCAATAAAGCTTTCGACTCGAGCATTAATATTATCATCTTGTAGCATTTATACATACATACACGCATCGACATCGACACATGCACGAACACAAAAAGGGAATACATACATACGTGTACGTAAGAAAGTTGTTCAACTGGCCGATAAACATGCGAGAATAATCGATCTTTATTAAAAATAGCTGGTAGTCATAAAGTTGGCTTGGATATTTTTAATATTTGCACATGCGAACGTTTAATAACGCAATAAACATATCGTCACCTTTCATATATACCCGAGAGGCTCGTGACTGTGTGCACCGTGGCATACGTACACGTCTTGGAAAAAATCAAGTTGTAGTTATTGCGCTTATTCATACAGCAGGCAGGGGGAGAGAGAGAGAGAGAGAAAGAGCACAACTGGACAAAATATTACTCGCTCGTATCGCTTCGTTAAAATACGATATCCAAGAGGGTTTAATTAGGTTGTAAAATGAGTGACGATAATTCCGCTTATATCTCAAGCCAATGTTTGCCGCACATACAAGAGAGACTTCGTATGAACACGAGCGCATGCACATACACACACACACATAACAGCAACTTTATTGCGCGATGATGTGCTCAGCGCTGCGCTCCGAGACTTTTGAGTCCTTGAATCCCCGTCGGAAGTTCAATACTGCTAACAGATGTTTTTTTTCTGGAATCACGTGAATAACGTTGATGATAGTTTTATACCAAAGTGAGATGTAGAAAAAATTTGACGTCGCGCATCTCGCTGTTGTACCACCTGAAACATCAAAGCTTGTATGAGTTGCACAGTTGACGAAATTCTGCATGCTGCAGCGTTACTGCAATAATTTATTTTCAGAAATATAGCGGAAATCGCGATTTTTATGTATCCTGAGAAGTAGAACACATGCCGGTTTGCTGCTTTTGTCGAAAATTTACAATTTTTATTTAATATAAATTAAAGTTACTTTTTCAATATTAAAATTTTGCAAGAAAAAATTGTTATTTCACTCATTAAATAGCATTGATACTCTTGATTTACTAACAAGTTTTTCGAGAGTTGCATTTATTCTATTGTTTTTAGTGACTTTTCTTAGTATTAAAATTTTCATTGAACTTTATTTTCTTTAAAACTTGATATTTCGTTGTAAAATTAAAGTATCATCTGAAATTTGAGAAAGCTTCGAGTTAGTAATGTATCGTCGCAGATATGATTCATGGAATGCTTTTAGTGTCAACTTTGAATAACGATTCGAGATTATTTTAAACTTATAAATGTCTCTTTCAACAAAACCAATTTAATCAAAAATCGAAAAACCATTTATATGACTTCCCTGATATTTATAACTTTATAAAATGATACATTGAAAAACATTTTAAAATGATGAATTGTAAACTTAAAATTAACGACCAATTAAACCAGTCATATGTTTATTAATGGTAGTAATATATGTTAAAAATATTGTTTTTATCGAAAAGTACATACATTTTTCATTGAAAAGAATTTTGCTCAAAAAAACGATTCAGCAAAGTTAAATTACATATTGATGGCGATCATCGAGCGACGGACGAAGAGGTGGGCTGGCTCAGCAGCCGTCGCTTCTTGATCTATATGGCCGCTCTCACCGACTAGTATTTATTATGTAGCAGTACCGTACACTATTTTTCAAGGCATTAAGACTCGTTGTTTTTTTTAAATTTTTTATACTTTAAATTTAGATAATAATTTATGTTTTTCTATTTTTCAATGAAATTAGTGGTAATGACAAATTTTCAAATTATATTTCAAATTCTGATGTTAATTTCTTTATATTATTAATGAATTTGAATTCGATTAAAGTTCAATCATTTTTAAAAATTTTATGGTGTGAATAATAAAAAATTAATTCAGTTCACTTTTCATATGTAAATGGACTGTTTATTCATTATGGCACTATAATATTATGCAAAAAGATACTTCCACATGATTTAATAGTTAGTAGGAAGAAAAATAAGATTGTATCTGCATTGAAAGTGCGGATGTCTTTTATGTCTCGACTTTACGGGTGTCTTTTTCACGCACTTGCCGTCTCAACTTCATTGAATTCAACTGCAGTTTTAAAATAATTACGCGATGAAAAACATGCTGATATGAGCGCTTATGTAGCGCAATTAAGTACCTGTTTAAAATGAGCAATGACTATTTCCTGGATCGAACGTTTATTAAAATTTGTTTTCCAAAACACAAAGAATAAGTAAACAAACACACGTAATATTTCAATATGCAGACTTTTATAAATTCACTTTTTTCGAAGATTATCCATGTAAAAACAATAAAGCACCATTTGTCGCAGGAATTAGTAAAAAATAAATGGACAGTAAGATGGCTGTTAAGCAGATCATATTATCAGAGCTGCGGCGTTGAAATCGCGGCTCAATCCGCAGCTTAAGTATCATTTTTCAAAATTATCGTGTACTCAAACAAACGACAGGTACATAAAAGTCATCGTAAAACGCATCACACACACACATGTACACACTCACAGAAAGGCTACTATGGCTTATGCTTTAGCACGTGCTCGCTTGACTTCATAGCCGATTCCGGCCGGCAGTAAACACTTATGTTCTCGCAGTGCCGTGGATGCGTGCGAGTGTGTGTGAGAGAGAGAGAGAGAGAGAACCTCTCGCATATCCATACGTTATGCCCAATGCTTTTTTTCGCCATTCGCGTTATTAACGAGCCAATTTCACGGTCGGAAGACTGCCGTGCGCGTATTAAGCTTGGCCCTTATATTATTCTCTCTTTTTCTCTTCTTTTGCGCGGGTATAATTGATTCGTACAGGTCCGATGTATCAATTAACTTGGTCGCCCGGAACCTCCAGCACCTATAGTCGTAGCATTTTATAACGTGTAGCCAAGCCGCACGAGCGTACACAAGCAC